CGGAAATGATAACGTTAAGAGTAGACAGAAGAAATGAACTGATAACAAATCATAACATAGAAGTAAAAGCACACCAGGTTCACACGATCTCTTGGGGTCAGGGAAAGAATGGTCCTCCAAACAGGACGTGAAAGACAGCCAAATTTCTAAACATCGCGGGCTCAAACTGCCAGGAAATTCACAATTTCAAAAAAATGCATTGCATCGTGGGAAATTACTCCGGTACACACCTGATGTGTAAAAGGGGTTTCTCACACACTTCTCTCACCAGGTTAAATAGGTAAAATGTGGCTCACTATGATCAGACGCCTACCAAACTAAACTGGATATCACACACTCGCATAAAGGAAGACTGAAGAGAACAGGGAGACTGAAGGAAGACAGGAAAGAAAATGCCATACCTGGAATCAGCGTAAGTAACCACGACTAGCTCGGCATAAGACAGGGATACTACAGAGGTATCAGCATGCAGATTGGGCCAGGCTCCGTCACTTGGTCAGAACCACCAATTGGGCAGCTATTGCTTGGATTGATCCAGACCTGTCATGCACTGGCATCTCAAAGAGGATCCTGGAGGGTATGAAGTGATTCATCCCCTCTAATACCCTGAAAACCTGTGCATTCGACCCTCTTTGGTGGATCCCTGTGTGCACTGCTGCCACAGTGAGGAAATGACGTGCATGGAGATACCTGAGAGATAACCTGCTCTGCTGAACTGGAACAACCTCTTTCTACACTGTTCACACAATGCTTCCAAACTGTGATACAGCCCAAGACATGGAATATTGCCAACATAGTCCCTATATTCAAACGGAAATCAAAGTCTCTACGCTCCAATTACCGTCCAGTTTCGCTCTTGTGTATTCTGTCCAAAGTGATGGAGACAATCATCAACAGAACAATAACTAATTTCCTCGAGTAGAACGACGTCTTCTCCACAAGACAGTTTGGATTTCGCCATGGCCATAGTGCAGCCGACCTCCTCTCCAGCCTCCACAACCAATGGCTGCATACAGCCGGGAAGAAAGGCGCAGCACGCATACTCACCATTGACATAGCCGGCACGTTTGATCGCGTATCACACCCCGGTGTGCTACACAAGTACAATGTATACTGCTTGCGTGGGCAACTGCACCAGTGGCTCAGCAGCTATCTCATTGAACGCTACCTTCAAGTGGTCATTTGTGGCCAGACATCCTCAAGGCTCTCAATTCAGACTGGAGTCCCCCAGGGCAGTATTCTGGGTCCGACTCTCTTCCTCATATACGTGAACGACTGCAAGGACCACGTACCAGCCGGTGCTGACCAAGCCTTATTCGCAGATGACACTACACTGCATGCCAACATCACCTCCACCACCCAACAAGATACCACCCAAGCCCATCTGCTAGCAGTCAACAACATCTCCCTCTGAAGTCAAGAATGGAAGATAGAAATTTGAACTCGCAAAAAAGTATTCAACTGCGTAATTCTTCTTTCTGCTCATAAAAACGATCATGCATCAGGGATAATCTGACTTACATTATTCCTTGGTTCCAACGAATGTCCAGAAGTGATAAAATATTCCACTGTGGAAACATGACCACGCCGTGCTGCATCATGTAATGGTGTGTCACCGTCCTGGAAGTAGCAGAAAATTAAAGACAAGACATGTACACACATACCCACAATCATACACATGTTGATGCACACGCACCCTTGCACGCACACACACACACACTCATGCATGCATGTACACACACACACACACACACACACACACACACAAACACACACACACACATCAAAAAAAACACACACCTCAGATCTCAGACCTGCCCATCGCAGAAGCATTGGTAAAGAACAGCTACGTTAGACACAGCAACTAGTGATGGGATAACACACACACACACACACACACACACACACACACACACACACACACACACACACACACACACACACACACACACACACACACAAACGCACACACACAAA